TGGTGGATTCGAACTTCGAACCTTTGTGTTGGCAGTGCAGTTCCTTAGCACCAAGCCACCGAAGCTCTCTTAAAAAGGTGTTGTTTCCCCTTTTGGTAAACGGAAGCACCAGGTTAAGCTCCTTTCAGATCTCACCTCACGGGTCTCTCTTCCTTTCTGTCTTTTCTGGTTGTATTAAATCTGTAGATGTAAATATGGTGGACTCACTGAATTCTGTAAATCACTCTAGTAAATTAGCCAACCCACAAGAGCAGTGAGAACCATCAGGGGCTGGAGTCTGCCTACTGCGCCATCCGAAAGAAGCTGCCCTCCAAATCGGGAGCTCTGCACCAGCTCCAGGTCGGGTCAGAGTGTGTGTCAGGTCGGAGGCTGGAGACAAGAACGGAGGAGTGGGACAGTGATGACGCGGATTCCAACATCTCCACTCCAAAAAGTGAGAAAGGATGGCAAGAAAAGAAAGTCACAAAGCATAATAATAATCCTAGCCATAATCATAACGACAATCACAATACAAGCCCTAATTATCCAAAGACCTCCGGGTTGTGAAAATAGTATGGTATAATCTGGATTATGAAAATACACAGAGAAAAGATTGAAGCAGTCAACAATTTTACTTGGATCCACAGGCAACACCCATGAAAGCAGCAGTCAAGATTCAAAAGGCGTGCTGCACTGGGAAAATCTGCTCTCAAGAATTTGCTAAAGAGCAAGGATATCACTTTAAAGACTAAGGTGCCCTTGACCCAAGCCAGAGTATTTTCAGTTACTCCCTATATATCTGAAAGTCAGACAATGGACTATGGATGACAGAATAAGAATTGATGCCTTTGAAATGTGGTCTTGGCGAAGAGTACTGAATATCCTATGAACTGCCCTGAGAACGACCAAACAAGAATGTCTAGGAGGAAGTCGAGCCAGGGTGGTCCTTAAAGGCAAAGATGGTGAAACTACATCTTACATACTCTGGGCATGCTGCTAGGAGAGGCAGGTCTTTGGAAAAAGGCATCATGCGGAAAAAGGAGGAGGGTCAGAGAAAATAGCAAAAGACCCTCAAGCAGAAGGACGGACACAGTGCCTGGACCTTGTCGGAGGCTATGAGGATGGCACAGGACAGGGCACGGTTCAGATTTGTTCATAGTGTTGCTATGAGTTACAGTCAATTTGATGGCATCTAACAACGGAAAAGTAAGCATGATGTTGCCTATTGGTCTAGCAGTGAGACGGTTTGGTTTTTTTTTCCCCCCTCTCAATCCTGGAGGCATAATCCACATTTAAGGCATATGTGACCTATATTTAAGTCTTTGACTTTCTGCTTCTAAATCTTCTGCAGTAAGTGTGTCAGTGTTCTTCACTTTTTGCAGGCAGGGCTGTGTTGTGTGAGCAACGAGGTTGCTGATAAGTCTTCCTCCCCTCCTTGCTGTTGTGTTGTGTGTTGTTGAGGACCCTGAGACTCATGCACAGCACCTTTGCACCCTGCCCTGTCCTGTCTCCTACACACCAACTGTGCTGACTCCAAAAAAGTAACAAAGCAATTTTTAAAAGTAACAAGACTTTGTGTTTTGGTTTGTGTTTTTGTGTTTCACGCTTTTCTTCACGACACTATGTTTCATACAATCCTTCAACTACATTGTGTTTTAGTAAATGAATGGCCATTGGACTATGCCCACCATTACTAACAATAATACTTCATGGAAGCTCTGCTCTTTATTTCCTAAGGTACAAAAATAAGTGTAACAATAAATGAATTTTTTTAAAAAGTTTAAAATATTTTAAAAAACTAAAAGTAACAAGACTTAATAATAATAAAAAAATCACAATATGAACCATAATTTTCCAGAGAAATATTGGCTGTGAAAATAGTAACTTTTGTCGTGTGCCATGAAGTTGAATCGAGTCACAGTGACCTTAGAAGACTGTAAGTTTCATTGGCAGGATCACTGTTTTTAGGAAATGAATGGGTGAGATTCGAGAATTGATTACTATAAAGGAAAAGGATGAGACAGTTGATAACATAGTAAATTGTAGAATTATATCAAGTCTCCAGTAAATGAAATCATTACATATTTCTCCTAGTTGCACTGTTAGTATTTAACAGCTCTGTTAAAAGTAGTCAGTTAAAAAAAGCAAATAAACTTCAAGTAGAATAAATGTGTTTTTAAGAAGACAGCTTTCATTTCTAACATGAATTATTAACACCCCACACGTGGTCAGTTAACACTGACTTGTTGAGACGAGGTTCCAGAGGGCCAACTCTGGCTAACAGCACACCTCCTACACTCAAAGGCCCACAGCCTTGCCCCACCGGCCCACCCTCACGAGCTCTGCCGTGGGCAACCCCCTGCTGCAGTCTTCTCATCACTCCATCTTACCGAGCGTCTCTGCCTACTTCACTGACCCTCTATTTTCCCAAGCACAGTCCTTTTGGAAGGACTTGCCCCTTCCTGATAACGGGCGCCAATACTGTGGGACGAGGTCTCACCAGTCCTCACTCCACGGACCACCACGGCTGCAGTTCTCCCCGCAGAGCCGGGTTTGTTCTTCTGGAAGCCCATAAAATAAAGAATAAATCAATATCGCCAAAATCATCCCATAAGGGAGAAGAATGGACAGGACCAATTTTAGTGTAGAAAGAGACACTGTGAGAGGATTGGATTGGCGGTGAGTAAAACACAGGACCAACAGTAAGAAGGTAACCCTTCTTATTCCTGTCTTTGTCACTCAAACCAGTGCAGCTTTTTAGCTGTTGGAAGTATTTGTTTCTCTCTACCAAACCGAAGCCCAGAGGCTGCCCTGCCACTGAGAAATGCCTGGGTGACTGACTAGAAAACGGCTCTAAGAGTTTCTGCCGCTCACGGGATCATCGTCCGCATCCCCTGCACAATGTTATCGCCCACGCATCTTGTCAGCAGTGCAGATACTAGTCATTCCACCCTGCTCACTCGGCGGTTCCATACCAGTCAGGTTATCTTCACCAAGCTTAGCTCACTCCTCAGCGCCTGTAGGGCTAATAAACATGCTTTCTCTGAGAGAGTGATGGGATAAAACAGAAGGTGCCAGTGGTGCCTCGGGATCCTTGCGGGGAAAACTTTACTGGTGTCAGAGAGAAATGAAGATATTTAGCATCCACTGCTGTAATTTGAGATGACCTAGATCATCCTCGCTGTACTTCACTTCAGTGTACACTGAGGTAGTTTTACGTCTTCATTTCCGTTTTGATATATGTTGTGACAGTAATGATTGCCAGTCCTCTGTGAAATTCAGGAAAAACAATGCACTGAGGTTGCAAACCTCAACTTCCAAAAAACCACGAGTCTATCCCTTTTCTTTTCTTACTGATAAGGGAAAGGATTATCTTGTTCATATTTTACTCCAAGGCTTAAGAAAGTTCATCGTAACTGATATGACACTATCCTGGAACCATTCTAAAATGTACCTAGTGGTCTCAAAAGATCTCTAGAGTCCTGGCCAACTCTCTTTTGACCAACAGACCTTGCAAACAGCAAATGTTTGGTAAAAATTGGTTATTGAAAAAAAAAAATCTGCTACCTTTGAAGAGATGGTCGTCCCGTGATGAATAAACTAACTCAAACATCCTCTGCTCATTTTCACTCAGCAAGTATTTATCAAACATCTAAAAAGTAATTTTCAATCATTCAATTGTTGTTGTGGTTGTTGTTATGTGCCGTCGAGTCGCCTGCGACTCATAGCGACCCTATGTACAACAGCCCTAAACTCCGCTCTGTCCTGTGCCAATCGCACTGTCTCTGACACTCCCATCCCAATTATCCCAGTCACTGAATCAATCCACCTCATAGAGGGCTTTCCCCTCCTGCACTGTCCCTCCACCCTCCCAAGCATGATGTCCCTCTCTAAGGACCGGTCTCTCCTCACAACATGTCCAAAGTAAGTTAGACGGAGCCTCAGAATCCTTGCCTCCAAGGAGCCACCCAGTTTAACCCTCTCTAGGACAAATCTGTTTGTTTTCCTAGCAGTCCATGGTATTCTCAATACTCTTCTCCAGCACCACAGCTCAAAGGCATCAATTCTCCTTCTATCCTCCTTGGTCATTGTCCAACTCTCTGATGCATAACAGGTGATTGCGAAGACCATGGCCTGTATCAGACGCACCTTAGTCTCCAGAGAGACACCACTGCTCTTCAGCACTTTGGAGAGGTCCCTAACAGCAGACTTTCCCATGGCAATGCGCCTTTTAATTTCCTGGCTGCTGGTGCCAAGACTGTTGACTACGGAGCCAAGCAAACTAAAGCTGTGTACAATCTCAATCTCTTCACCATCCATCCTGATGCTGCCAATTGGTCCAGTGGTGAGAATCTTTGTCTTCTTGACATTGAGCCTCAATCCATATTGTAGGCTGCAGTCCTTGACACTCTGCAGCAGGCACTTCAGGTCCTCCTCAGTTTCAGCAAGCAGGGTTGTGTCATCCGCATAACGCAGATTGTTGATAATTAGAAGATTTCAAAAGGCAGCACGGGATGACAAAGCAAAATATTACAATGAAATGTGCAAGAAGTTGGAGTCGGAAAATCAAAAGGGCCGAACTCGCTCAGCATATCTTAAGCTCAAGGAACTGAAGAACAAATTCAAACCTCGAGTTGCTATAATCAAGGATGCTTTCGGCAGAACGTTAAATGATCCCGGAAGTATTAAAAGAAGATGGAAGGAATATACTGAGTCACTGTATCGAAAAGAATTGGAAGACACAGAAGAATTTCATGAAACAACATATGAGCAAGAGCCTATGGTGATGAAAGAAGAAGTTCAGGCTGCTTTGAAGGACATGGCAAAAAATAAGGCTCCAGGAATAGATGGTACAGCAATTGACATATTTCAGTTAACAGATTGGTGGTTGATTATCATTCAATTAGCATACAAAATATTAAACAGTGACAATATGAGAAAGAACACTGCTTTTCTGTTGGTTTTCTGAGAGATTCCCAGTGTGCATTTCACACAGAGCTTACGCATGCCAATGACCTTACCTCTCTCACAGACAGCTGAGGCGGGAAGGAGACGGAAAACACCAGGCTGGTGAATTCAAACCCAGAGGCCTCCACTTTTTGGCACACCTGAAAAACATGACATTATGTAAATAACCAAGAATTGTGGAAAGCGTTGATCTTTATAACACGAATCTTAGGTCCAAATGATATTGCAGAATACGTGAATTTCCACATTTAAAAACAGAACTCTCACAAACCTCTCGAAATTAATTATTAACTATGACTCTAACCACTGCTATCACGAGGAACCTGAGAAGCCTTCAGCCGAATGATGAAATAACTTTCTATTACGTTACCTTGTAATTTGCAAATGTTTAAACTTCAATATTTAAATTGAAAACGTTTTTTAAGTAAATGAAAGCCAAAATATGGCGCTCTTGACATCTGGGAACAAAAGGTAATTCCACATCTAATCACTCATTCACGTCCTACATGCCTAAAATACGTGTCTTTTCCAGACAGGCACAGAAAAGGCGGCATCAGTCAAGAAACCAAACAGACACGTCACACTGGGGAAATCCTGCTGTCGTGGACTCTCCAGAGTGTGAAAGAACAACGTCCGTGGAAAGACTCAGGTGCACCTGATCCAAGCCATGGGCTTTTCAGTTGCTTCCTATGCATCTGATGAAAGGTGGACAGTGAGAAAGAACCAAAGAAGAATCAGTGCCTTTGAATAATGGTCTTGGAGAAGAGAAAAACAATTGTATCTTGGACAAACCAAAACCAGAGTGTTCCTTAAAGGCAAAGGTGGTGAAACTGTGTCTTTGGGCATGCTGTCAAGAGGGGCCTGTCCTTAAAAAAGATATCACGCTGGGGAAAAAGAGAGTCAGAGAAACAGAGGAAGAAGCTCAATCAGACAGAGTGAAACAGCATCTGTAACAGTGAGCTCGTGAAGACTGGAGGTCCTGAGGATGGCGCAGGCGAGGGCAAGGTTCACGCCTGTCGTTGATAAGGCTGTTAAGAGTCACAGTCTACGGCACCTACCAACCAGAGAAATGACCGGACACTCACAGAGAAGAAGGTTCCTCTAACTCCTTAGCCAGGCTAAACACCAAATACAAACCAAAAGGCTCAACGTTTCTTCCACTAAATAGTGCTCATTACTGAAATGCACCGAGAACACACATCACTGATTTTTAGGTATCATGCTGAGAAAAAGGGTGACTTGAGAATAAGGGCTTTTGGTTTTCTTTTAAAACATTAAGAGCATTTTACTGATCTGGTAGTACGCAACAATATAAAATGAATGTCACTGTATCTTTCTGCATAAGAATCCCAGGATTTAAGGTTATCAGGGACCTCTCCAAAGTGCTAAAGAGCAAGGATGTCAGTCTAGAGATTAAAGTGTGCCTGACGCAGGCCACGGCCTTAGCAATTACTGAAAGCTGGACAATGACTAAGGATGACAGAAGAAGAATTGATGCCTTTGAGTTGTGGTGCTGGAGATGAATCTTGAACATACCATGGATTGGCAAAAAATAGGTCTGTCTTGGAGAGGGTGAAATCAAGTTTCTCTTGGAGGCTAGGATTTTGATGCTCCATCTCCCATGCTTTGGGCCTGAGGCCAGGAGGGACTGGTCCTTTGAGAAGGACGTCATGCTTGGAAGGGTGGAGGGATAGTGCAGGAGAGGAAAACCCTGGATGAGATGGATTGGTACAGTAAGAGGGAGGATGGGGTAGATGTGTGGGAGTCAGTGAGACTGGCTCAGGACAGGGCAGGCTTCAGAGCTGCTGTACATCAGGTTGCTATGAGTTGCAGGCAACTCAATGGCACATAACACAACTACATATAACTGTGCGTATAATAAAAAATGATTGTTGTTGTTGTTCTGTGCCGTCGAATCGTTTGCGACTCATAGCGACCCTATGTACAACAGCCCTAAACCCTGCTCTATCCTGCGCCAACCACACTGCCTCTGACACACCCATCCCAATTATCCCAGTCACTGAATCAATCCACCTCATAGAGGGTCTTCCCCTCCTGCGCTGTCCCTCCACGCTCCCAAGCATGATGTCCTTCTCCAAGGACCCGTCCCTCCTGGCAACATGTCCAAAGTATGTTAGACGAAGCCCCAGAATCCTTGCCTCCAAGGAGTAGCTTAGTTTAATCCTCTCCAAGATGAATCTGTTTTCCTGGCAGTCCATGGTACATTCAGTACTCTTCTCCAGCACCACAGCTCAAAAGCATCAACTCTCCTTCTGTCCTCCCTAGTCATTGTCCAACTCTCTGATGCATGACAAGCGATTGCAAAGACCATGGCCTGTTTTTTTTTAATTTTTTTGATTATGTACCTTTTTAATGAAGTCTTTTTCACAGAACTCTTGAAGAATCCCCAGGCAAACATTGCACACAGTTGAGTTCTCGGACGCAACATCTCCACCTCCACTCACAGTGATCTCGCTCTCTCCATTCTGACCCAGATTACCAACTTCATCTTCTGATTCTTGAAGTCGAATTTTCTTGAGAGGTGGATTTGGCACTTCCAGAATTAATGTTTCTTTGTCAGCTTCCAGAAATTTCTGTAGATCACTGAGTAACTCCTGGAAAGGTAATAAAACAAACAGTAATAACCTTCTCTGAGTATGTGCAGGGTCACCAGGTAAAACAAAGCATGAAAACATGAGTGAAAATCTATGTATCTATTACAGAGTTGTACAATTTTGTTTTATATGAGTTTTGAGAGGCCCTGGTGGCTTTGTGGTAAGGAGTTGCACTGTCAGGTCAAAGTTACACAGTTTGAATCCATCAGTTGTTCTGTGAGAGGATGGACAGTCTCCTCCCGTGCTATTTATTGCCGCTGAAAACACATTGTACGTTGGTGCTGACTTAACAGTACATAACAAAACAAGAGAAATTCTGAAAAACACAATTTATCAGCCAGTACTAGCTTTCTCCCAAAATCTGCTTCTGTCAAGTACAGTCTAGATTCTAATTCATAGTGAACTTGTAGAAAAGAGCAGAACTATTTTCAAACCAAGGCTGTGAGGTTTATAAAAGCAAACAGGACCCTTTATTCTCTCAGAGTAGTCGGTGGGTTCATACTGCTGACCTTGTGAATAAGGGACAAGCACTTAACCACTGTACCACATGCTCCTTCCTTTTGCTTTATAGGGAATCTCAAAGATAAATTATTTAACTTAAAATGTGCATAAATTTTCTTAGGTAAAAATAAAGTTGTAAATCTAAGTGTTTATCAGTAGAAATAAACGTAAAGCTAAGCCAGAAAAGCTCTTATGAGGAAAGACATTCATCTGATTTATAGTTCTGTTGTGAAGCAATTTCTTAACTTCAGTAAAAACTCACTTTCGTCCTAATTATTAACATATAGAAATAAAATTGGCATTTCCATTCTTTTTAGATTATTTTGTAATCTCACAATCTCTAAAATCTATTAAGTAAGATGTTTCTATAATGTGAAATCTGAATAGTCAAACAGATGTTGTTGTTGTTATGTACCGTGGAGTCGCTTGTGACTCATAGTGACCCTATGTACAACAGCCCTAAACTCTGCTCTGTCCTGTGCCAACTACACTGTCTCTGACACTCCCATCCCGATTACCCCAGTCACTGAATCAATCCACCTCATAGAGGGTCTTCCCCTCCTGCGCCGTCCCTCCAAGGACAGCATGGTGTCCCTCTCCAAGGACTCAGTCTCTCCTCACAACATGTCCAAAGTATGTTAGATGGAGCCTCAGAATCCTTGCCTCCAAGAAGCCACCCAGTTTAACCCTTTCCAGGATAAATCTAGTCAAACAGATAATGAAAGTAAAAATAATTTCAAGGAGATACAAAATTGACTACAGGAAGCCGCCAGGCTCTGAAGGCAACTTGTTTTAGACCTCTAAATTACATAAATGTGCTCTCACTTTGAAAAGAGTAAGGTGAAGTGTTGGGCTGCGAATCTGAAGGTCAGCAGTTCAAGCCCAGCAGCTGCTCCATGGAAGAGAGTCAACATAGTTGTCTCCCATTAAAATGTAGACTACCAGGAACCTGATGCTGGCTTGTGAGTCAGAACTGACTTGATAACAGTAAGTTTGCTTTGATTTCAGTTTTAAACAAATGAACCAATCTCTAAACAAAATAAAACAGACAAGAGGCCCATAGCCAACCATTCAGACTCAGAGCAACAAATTCTTCATCACAAACAACTTCACTTGCTGCATATGCAGTTTTCAAATCACTCGAGAAGATGTGATCTGAATTACACTGAATTACTGAATCAAAAAGTAAGGTCTTAGGCACCTGAGCCAAATTACTCACAAATTGTTAGGTGTGGTCAAGACTAAAGCTTGTTCGGAAACCAGGGACTGTCTACATTTTATCAGTATTAAGAGCACTGATGATGACGATGGGCATTTCCTCAGAGAGGATTCCAAATGCTTTCATGTCAATTAATTCGTAGATACGAATAGTACTATAAAGAATAGGAAAAGGTCACCTGACTCATAATCTTAAGAATCTGGTTTAAAATCACGCTCCCTCTTAATTGAAGCCCTCGTAGTCATCACACCATCCTGCTGCAATTTACTATCTCTTAAGGAGGACTATTTTGTGGTATTCTGTCCAGATATCGTTTAGGTAAAGATGTACATGAACTTGAAATGCACTGTGGGCTTGTTCCACAAAGGTTCTCCCAAGCCAAACATGAAACGCATTCACTCAATAAGGAATTTTCACTGCTTAGAGTAATTTTGTTTTTGTTAATAACCATTCTCTGTCAGTTGTTATTTTAGTAGTTTTAGGTTATTGCTATTGGTGGGTTGTTTTGGAGTTGGGGTTTTTTCCCCATTTAACAAAGAATTATGATCAGATCCCTATTGATTGAGTCAATTCTGACCTCAGGTGACCCCACAGGGCTGGGTAGAACTGTCCACAGGGTTCCCTAGTCTGTAAGCCTTCATGGAAGCACACTGCCACAAGCAGCGGATGAGAGATTCAAACCATCAACCTATGGATTAGCAGGTGAAGACTTAAAACCACTGCACCACCAGGGCTCCTGATGAATAGACACTTCCCTCAAATGTACAAGTATTTATGTTAAACAAAGAATCTTCTTTAAAAGACAAAGCTAAACAATGAAAATACCTTGTATGGAAGTTTGTAAGGTGCATGACAGTCCACGCCACAGAACCTGAAGATACACCTGGGACAGGTGCCGGTCCTGAGCAGCAACAAGGCAACACCTTTGTTCTCCTCCGTTAGTGGAAACATGCTGAATTCTTAGAACTGCAAAGAGAACCAAAGTAAAGCGAAATGAAACATTTCTGTGTTTCATTTTCATCGACAAATATGTCACCACTATCCATTGTAAAAATGTGTATTTGAGAAAACTATTGCATATTCTCCATATGTTTCTTTCATTATATACATATTCTAAACAAGAATGTGGCTTAGTGGCAAGTGGGGGGAGAATGTTACAGTTGCCTCCAGGACTGACCATTCCCTGAAGAAACCTAATAATATCTGAGGTGACCAGACCAAAGACCAAACCAGACAATGGATCCTGATAGTAAAGCTCTGGGTCTGATTACAAAAGCTCATACTCAAGTTAATTGTTGGTATTGTTATGTGAGTTGTCCACAACTCATAGTGACCCTATATAAATCCTGCTCCATCCTGAGCCAACAGTACTGTCTCTGACACACTTACCCCCATTATGACCTCAGTCACTAAATCCATCCATCTCACCAAGGGTCTTCCTCCCCTGCTCTGTCCCTCTCCAAAGACTGGTCCCGCCCTGCAACATGCCCAAAGTATGCCAGACGAAGCTTCAGAATCCTTGCCTTGGAGGAGCAGCCTGGTCTCACCCTATCTAGGGAAAACCTGTTTGTTCTCTCAGCAGTCCATGGTATACTCAACACTGTTCTCCAGCACCACAGCTCAAAGGCATCAATTCTCCTATCAGCCCTAGTCATTGTGCAGCTTTTTCATGCATAGCATGTAACTGCAAAGACTATGACTTGGATCAGGTGCACCTTGGTCTCCAGACTGACATCATTACTCTTCAATACTTTGGAGAGGTCCCTGACAGGTTAATTAACAGCCCCAAATTCTGAGCAAAACACTATCTTTTCCTAGTCCTCCCTAAAATCCCTTTAAAAAGAAACTACCCTTAAAACAACTAAAATATATCACCTCACCCCAGTAAAAATAGCAATATTTAACAGAAAAGCAGACATCAAATGCTGGCAGGGTTGTGGAGAAACTGGAACACTTACTCACTGTTGCTGGGAGTGTAAAATGGTGCAACCACTATGGAAGGCTGTATGGTGCTTTCTCAAAAAGTTGCAAATAGAGATACCATTTGACCCAGCTGGACTCTGAGGAGAAATGTGGCATCAGGATTGGTGGAAGATCTATCAACAATCTGCGTTATGCAGATGACACAACCCTGCCTGCTGAAACTGAGGAGGAACTGAAGCGCTTGCTGCAGAGGGTCAAGGACTGCAGCCTTCAGTATGGATTGAGGCTCAATGTCAAGAAGACAAAGATTCTCACCACTGGACCAATTGGCAGCATCAGGATGGATGGTGAAGAGATTGAGATTGTTCACAGCTTCAGTTTGCTCGGCTCCACGGTCAACACTCTTGGCACCAGCAGTCAGGAAATCAAGAAACGTATTGTGATGGGAAAGTCTGCTGTTAGGGACCTCTCTAAAGTACTCAAGAGCAACGGTGTCTCTCTGGAGACTAAGGTGTGTCTGATACAGGCCATGGTCTTTGCAATCACTTGTTATGCATCAGAGTTGGACAAGTCATTTTGCCCATTTTTAAAAAAAAATTATTATTATTTTTTGCGTGTGTACCATCAAATCGGATCTGACTACTACAGGAGATTGCCCTTTCTTCTCCAGCAGAGCATCTGGTGGATCTGAACAGCCTATCTCTGGGATTGCAGTGCAGCTTCTTGCCCCTAGGCCACCAGAGCTCTCTCCCTCAAGCCATTTTGACCTTCTCCCCACACAGTCACTTGCCTTCTCAGACCATGCAATAAAGGCCTGTGGTACCAGTTTATTTTCTCTCTCTTGCCCTCAACTCTTTTCTTCTATCTAACAGTAAGGAGTTGCTCTGCCAATCCAAAGATATGTGGTTCAAATCCACCAGTTGCTTGACTTGACGGTACATAACAACAAAACAGACTTGAAGGATGTCTCGAAAATGTCCTTTGTTAAAGGAAGGTAGTTTAACACTCTGGTCCATGATAAAGTGCATCAATGTGACTACGTCAATCAAAAGACAAAAAATATTCAAGAATGGTTACATCCGGGAAAATGGAAAAAGGAGTTATGATTTGCTTTTGATTTTGTAGCACTTAGCATTGTTTGAAAATACAGTAGCTAATTCCTTGAACTTTTCCTATTAGAAAGTAAAAATAAACTTGATAGAAAAAAAAAAGAAAACCAAATCACACCACGGTCAGAACTTGTCTCAGTGGAATGTATCCCCGAGAGCTGCAAAGGTGCGGACCACTTCCAGTGAGTGTCAAGGGAGCCACACTGTCAGATCAAGTGACAGCAAAATGACTGCTTATAAAGTTTTATGCAATGCTGTAGCACAAAGACAATCTTTATCATTTAAAAAAAAATCACGGTACAGACATACCTTGTTACAATGAGCTTTGCAGGTACCGCGTATTTTACAAATGGGAACCAAGAGGCAATCTTGTGGCAATCAAGTCTATGAGCGCCATGTTTCCAATAACAGCGCAAGCACACTTCATGCCTCTGGCTCACATTTTGGTTAATTCTCAACAGTATTTCAAATGTTTTCATAAATGCCATTGCACACTTGGTGGGCTACCGTATAATGTACAAATGAATTTTATACCCACTAGAGAACAAACAAAACTAATTGGCGTGGTTCAATCTTTGTGAGACCGGCTTTACTGCAGTGCAGTGGTCTGGAAGTAAACTTGGAATCTTTGAGAGGTATGCCTTTATTGTAAGAAAAAAGTCAGCAGTTAAAGCCCATCTTTGATTGCACTGGCATCTCACAGACACTCCATCTACCTCATTCATTACCTTTTTTCCTCTTCCTCAGGATTTTACTTAAGTCCGAATTAATTTTTTTTAATTGTAATAAGATATATACTTTTATTCTTAGAATTCCGCATTTTTTTTAAATAAAATTTTCCTTTTATACTGGTTTACTTACAAAGTTCGTACACATTGTTTTTCACATTGGATCTTTCCCACTTCCTTTACCCACCCCCCTCTCCACCCATCAAATTGTGCGACCCCATTTCTTCACCTGTCCTCACCCCTAAGCTCCCGGCCCTCCCCCACTTGGACCCCCATTTCTTCACCTGTCCTCACCCCTAAGCTCCCGGCCCTCCCCCACTTGGACCCTCACACAAGTTTTACTAGTTATCTATTTCTACAATAATGGTCTTATATAATATTTGTCCTTATGGGACAGAGTTAGTTCACTTAGCATAATATTCTCCAGTCCCTTCCAAGTTAGGTAGTTATTTTCAAAATCATTGCTCTTACATGCTCCATAGTATTTCTTTTTTTTTTAATATTTTTTTTAATTGGGAAAAACATATTGGAGGTACAAGGAGGTGAGGGTTGGGGGTAGAAGGGTGAGGATGGGCCAGGATGCAGTTGCAGAGCTGCACAGTTTGGTCGGTGGGGAGAGCAGGTGAAGGAAATGATGAGGGTCCAGTGGGGACCAGATGCTACAGAGGAATGACAAGCAT